ATGAATTTTAGTTTTAAATATTTTTAATATAAATCATGGTAAAAAAATGATTATGTTTGACCAAATTGTGACTTATAAATAGGAACAGAGGGAGTACTTGTTTTCTAGGTTAATGTAGAGTTACTTGGTGGCTAAGTTAAGTCAGAGTTAATTACTTAGACCACAAATTTAGGAGTCTGTTCTTTTATCAAATAGTCACTTTCATTAATCAATAATCAGAGATTACAAACGTCGGGAGGAATGGTCTCGAACCATACGGTTATCCAGCTCAATCTTAGCTAGAGAATGTGCTAATACATTGATTTCCCTATTTACAAATTGAAGCGTACATAAATCAAAATAGGATTGCCAACTCTATAATTTCATCTGTAACTACCAAACATACCAAATAAATAAACAAATAAATTACAAACTAAACTCACATTCCGTGAAACTAGAACTCAAGACCTCATGGTTCATGTACACTGGAACAATGAGTCCAGCACTCTACCACCAGGCCAAATGCCCGATGGCAGGAGTCTTTTTTGTATGGGTGTATAAATAACTAGTTTATGTTTAGATTTTTTTTTGTGTGAGAGAGAGAGTTGAGATAGATTTATGTTGTGAGAGAATCCCCTTTGGGTGTAGGTTGATTAGATTGAAAGTTTACTAGTTTGATTGTTATGATTAGTAATTAATTGATTTGATAGTGTAGAGTTGTGGCATAAGTCCACAAGAATTTTTGTTTTCCGTTTTTAATTATTTATTTGGTTAATTTCTGAAATATCTGAAATTACCATAAAAACGACCTAGCACGAATCCTTTCAACTAGTATATATATATATATATATATATAATTAATCTCACCATTGAGATTCCAAAAATTCATATATCGGTCAAACAACTTCAACTTTGATCATTATTTTAGAGAAAAATATGTAGAACTAAAATTTCAAAAATTATATTTTGAAAAGCTTGTGTTCCAAATTTATGAGTATTATTTTAAAATTTTATTTTGGTTTATATATATTTTTTAAAAGATGGTCAATATTGAAATTATTTGACCAAAGTGATGACATATAAATAGGAATAGAGGGAGTATATTATGTTTGGAAAAATGTATGTTTAGATTTATATTTAAATTTAGTTATAGTTGGGTATAAGAAAAGCGCACCCTACTACATCCTCTAATTGGTTATAGTTAAATATCTCATATTGAACATGCATATGATGAATAAATTTAAATGAAGAATACATATAGGTATTTTCAATTAATCAGATTTTTTTTTTATTTGAAACTGCTAGGGATTGAACACTAAGCACTAAAATCTAAAACTAAGAGTTCAAAACTATACCACTAAAATTAAATAAGTGTTCATCACACAATTTACACTAAAAAATAAAAAAATAAAATAAAATAAAATACAAATTCTTAATTTCAAATATTGCTTCACCGCAACTTAATTTCGGTGCTTGAGGCATCTTTAGCCGGGTAAGCACTCTCAATATGTCAGTCTCTAGTCTATAGAGCTCACTCTCTATAATATTTGTATGCTCGGTGAAGAGGGAAGTCGGTCGGTCCATTCTATCTTGGTCTTGGTCATTCTTGGACAATTTCGTAGAAGTATATGTTGAAGGGAACGGAACCTGTTTCCTGTGGAGGCGACCGATTGCTCCAATTAATCATCTTTTCGAATCTTAAGCTTTCAAGAGATTTAAATGCCTCGAGACCAGGCCCATAGAATTCGGGGCCAACTTGCTCTACCCCTTCCAGGCCGTAAATATCGAGTTTCTTGAGAGATGGTAGCTGCTCAAGCGACTGTACTGAGCTGCAATTTGGGCAGTCAATAAGAAATAGCCTCTCGATCTTGGAGAATTGAGAATTCCCTAACCAATCTGGGAAATTCCTACCACAAAATTTTTTAATCGTAAGACACTCCAAATTCTCAGTAGGCTTTAGCAGGGCAAGTACATCCTCTGCATTCTGTGTATTCTGGTCAGTAAAATTATTGGTTTCATTACCGTTTGGACGATTAGCATCTTCAGCATTCGGTGCCTTCCCATTATGAGGATCAACAGCATCCCATTCAAAAATCAACTCACGAAGATACCTCTTATCCTCTAAATTGGCAACTTTGGCATCTTCAGTTTGAGTGACATTCTGCAACCCTGTAATGGAAAGGGTGCCGCGCAGAAGAGAAAGCTCCTTCACCTCACTAATCCTTGACGACCCACTACTGCTGCCCACGATGAAATTAGTCAACAGTTTCAGATGTTTCAATGCACCAAATTGTTGTGGCATCTCCCTCAGGCGAGTCCCCTTGATATCAAGATGCTCTAATTTGGTAAGATTCTTCATGTTTGTTGGCAAATCAGTGAGTTCATGACAAGATGACAACTTCAGCGTCTCTAAATTAAGTAAACTTACCACTCCATCAGGTAAAGTTTTAATTTCATTTCTAGAAAGGTCCAAGTAGCGTAGATGTTTTAAGTTGCCAAAAAAATCAGGCAACGTACATATACGATAACCGGACAATGACAATGCTCTCAAGCTACTGGATTCCCTAAATAAAGGACATTGGAAGAATATAGGATTGCAGGTAGCTGAAGATGATCTCAGAGAAAGAAAGGTTCGTAATCGTAAACCTTTGAATACTTCTTCGAAAGCATTCAATTTGAGAACCATTTCCTTTGGCTCCAGAATGCAAGATAAGTAGCGAACCCGCTTAGGGTTTTGTGGTAAGCTATCATCCTCGAACTTGAAGCAAAACTCTCCAGCTATATGTTGAGCTAAATCGTTGACAAGGTCATGCATTATGAAATCTGTTTCATCCTCAAATTTACCCTTTATTGATTGGAAAATTGACCTTGATAAAAGTTCATTGAAGTAACTCTCACCTATTTCCTCCATTCTTCTCTTGCTTCTCGTCTGCTGCACTAGGCCTTCTGCTATCCAGAGTCGAACCAAGTCTCCCTTTTGATATTTGTGACCCTTAGGGAATAAGGAACAATAAGCAAAGCACTGCTTGAGGTGAGAAGGAAGATGGTGATAGCTCAATAGTAACGCCGGTAGAATGCCACTCTTATCATCAGGTAGATCCCATATCTTACTATTCAACACATTGTTCCATTTCTCAGATTCCCTCTCAAGACGCAGCAGACTACCAAGTGTTTTAGCAGCTAAAGGCAAGCCTTTGCATTTTTTAGAAATATTCACACCAATTGTTTTCAAGGTTGAATCTCCATCTACATTTCCAAATGCATGCTTTTCAAATAAAGACTGGCAATCATCATCAGATAGCCCATTCAGTTCATGGACATGGGTAGAACGCATGGTGGATGAAACAATTCGGCTCCGTGTAGTTACAATGATTTTACTTCCAGAGTCCGCAGCTTGTAAGGGTCTACGCAGCAGATCCCATTCTCCAAAACTCAAATTCCAAATGTTGTCCAGAACCAATAGAATCTTTTGGTCCCTCAACCTGCTCTCCACGGCAACCTGAAGTGAATTCAAGTCTTTGTTGAGCAGAGGCATATAGTCATGAATGCTGGAATTGGATGGAATGACGGACTCATAAATTGTCTTGGTGACATTGAAAACATCAAATTCATCCGAGACAGAGACCCACACTGTAAAATCAAACTTCTTCTTCTTCTCCTTCTCCTCCTTCACAGCACTGTACACGAACTGAGTAAGTGTTGTTTTACCCATCCCGCCCATTCCTACAATTGCAATCACAGATATCTCCTTATGCCCGGCCTCGCTATCACCCCACAGCAAACGGAGGATACGTTCTCGGTCATCTGTTCTGTAGCATGCCTCCGATTTATCAACTAAGGAAGTTGTCGGTAATCTTTGGAATGGTCTCCCTCCATGCCCATGACCTTCTTTCAAGCCAAGGACATTAATCTGGTCACCAATGGATTTCAACTTCTTCAAAATAGCGTCAAGATCTTCGTTAAATTTTCTTTTCTGCTTCTCTGTAGTTGGAACATTCGGAAACTGCTTCCCCCGCCTGTCTTCAGTTTCAATGGCATCCAGTAGATCCCCAGCATCGTAGGCAACATCTTGAAGATTGTCCAGCCACCTTTGCACCGAATGGTTCGTGACTTGCTTCTCTTCGGCATCTCCGAGAACTTTTTCCACGGTTAGAAGTGAATTTTCTAATTCCTGTAATTTTTCAATTTTGAGGTCGTTATTCTTGAAAAACTTCAGGATTTTGGGAGCTTCACCGTCTGGCTTAGTCAGCAGCGTCAGAAGGGCCCCCAGGAGTGCCCCTGTGCAAGTCGCAGCGAAAGTTATCCCGACCCCTACCATTTTCTCTCTGGTTTAAAAAGGAGTGAACAAATTCAATTTGAATGACGATCACAAGAGCAAATTGAATTGAATCAAGAATTGAGACTATATATAGATCAGTTCCCCTTCCCCGCAACACTTAATATTGTTTCCTGCTCGAGACTTGGGGCTTGAAAGTAATTAATTTCATCCAGGCTCCAGCTAATATTATTGAGAAAAAAAGGAAAAGGAAAGTATTATTTTCTTTAGAAAAAAAAAAAGAAAGTTTTCTCATTATTATTTATTATTTTCTCGATGATCCACCTGGTTGACTACTATAGTTGAAAAAAAATAAACACAAAAAACACGTTGACTATATTCGATCGGTTGGCAGAAATTATTAGAGATGTTTGTGAGGGAGGTAAAAAAAAAAACTTGTCTAGCAATTGAAAATTGCAACAAAAAATTGTAAAAGCTACCTCCATATATATCCATTTTAACTCTAACTAAAAAGGAAAAAGAAAAATCTAAGGCCATGTTTTGTAGTATGAAAAATTGAAAACATCTTCCATTTTCATTTTCTAAAGTATTAAAGAAATCAAGTAGAGATATGTCAATGAAGATGAATACATTTTCTAGGAAATAAAAATGATAATGGAGCTTTTTTTTTAGCTTAAAAAAGCTTGGATTAATATCTAACTATTGAAACCGGTGGGGATATGCGAGCAACATTATATACATAGGTTCAGGTGCATGTGTCAATTACTTCGATTTCATTCTCCATGTCACATGATTTTTGCCCAGGCATTAGCGCTAAAACTCCCCTCCCGAAGAGTGTACGATGAAGCTCTGCATGCCGTTCTCTATTTTTAAGTTCTCGACTAACTCCAAGTATGCTTCTAGGTACTGGATCAATCTCCAAGTCAGCCTTCAAAACCAAATCAAGTATAATAAAATCTCAAAATTATGAAAAATTCTTTTTAATTTTTATTTCATTGTTATTTTCATTTGCTAAAGAGTGCATTTTAGGGTTTAGGGTTTAAATCCCATTATATACATAGTGTATGTAGTTAATTACTTATACATGTACATAAGAAATTATAAGTTGGCCCCCCAAAATTATAATTTCAAAACTCAGATGAATCATTTTTTAAGCGATCAGTAAGCCCTTGTTTGGTTGGATGGGTGTGGAGGGGTGTGGTGGATTTTGGAGGGGTGGGTCTTTGTTTGGTTGGAGGGGTACTAGAGGTGTCAAACGGGCGGGTTGGGCGGGTTTCAGGTTCGGGTCATCTGGGTCCGGGTCAAATGGGTTATGCAGTTTTCTCGGGTCATCTAGGTTCGGGTTATTCGGGTCTCGGGTCGTTCGGGTCTTAGGTCATACGGGTTTCGGGTCATTCAGGTCTCGGGTCATTTGGGTCTCGGGTTGGGCGGGTTCGGGTTTTGACTTCGGGTCACTCGGGTTTCAGGTCAATTGGGTCAGCATTGAATTTTAAATTGTACCATTTTGCCCCCTGAATTTGTAAAATCAAGCCAATTTACCTCTGATTTGACAGTTGACTAACGGATTCCATTTAGTACCATAAAATTCGTTGATGTGGCATTTCCACATCAGCTCTCATGCGTGCCCCACTGTCACGGACTAAGTCTTCTCTCGCTCAAGGCTCGTCCGTGTGGCACTTGAATGGGCTCTCTCGATCAAGTCAGCCAACTCGATGTTCAATCTGAACAAGCAAACATTAAGCCACAATGTTAGTAGGGGACAAGTGATATAACCCCGGGGTATAGCCGCAGCTCGCGCCGTCGACCCCCTTGACTCGGAGAGGGTTCATTTTGGTCCGTTTGTATTAATAATGAGATTGCAAAAAGGTTCTCGAGACTTACCAACCTAGGGCCCAAGGGGGCAGCCCTAGGAGGTGTGTTGATACATACCTTAACTGGTGAGACAACCCAACAATCTGCCAACTGCTCACCCCCCTTAAAGAGCTAAACGGAATTTAGAGCTTTACCACCACAGATAGTTGATGTGTTTGAAAAGGGTACAAAAAACCTAAGGCTAGTAAAGGTTGGCCCTCTACCCAAGTCATGGCCCTATACAAGGGTTGGCCATGACATCCTCCCCCAGTCAATCTGTCGACGACCTCGTCGACTTTGTTGCTAGGAATTCTTCAATCTTCTACTGGAAGGCTTGCAGGTCAAGGGCTCTCTCCCAACTAACCTCTTCGGGTCCTAATCCCTCCCATTTTACAAGATATTCAAGGGTGGGTTTCCTACGTACAATAGAAGTTCTATCGGCTACGATTTCCTCTACCCTACACTGTGAAGGCGGCTTCATGCTGATTGCCGTTCTGGTGGCTTTGCTGTGACTCGGGTCATTTGGATCTGCATGGAAAGGCTTCAAGTTGCAGACATGGAACACCGGGTGAACCTTCATCCATGAGGGCGGTTTAATTTTATAGGAGGATTTCCCTACTCGAGCAATGATCTTCACGGGCCCTTCATACTTGCGTACTAACCGTCGGTCTCTCTTCCTCAAGAATCGGAGTTGTTCAGGGACTAATTTCACCAGTACAAGGTCCCCGACTTGGAATTGTTGTGGTTTCCGATCTTTGTCCGCCCATCTCTTCATTTGTTTGGAGGCTTTCTCTAAGTAGGCCCGAGCAACCTCTGTGTTTTGCTTCCACTCTTTGGCAAAGGTGAAAGCTCGTGGACTCTTTCCCCGATACAGCTCCACGTAGGTGTGCGGCAACCTGGGTTGCTGTCTTGTCACAATTTCAAAAGCGGACTTTTTAGTAGATGAACTCTTTTGCGAATTAAAGCACAATTGGGCCACATCTAGCAAAGGTGGCCAATCTCTCTGGTTGGCATGTACAAAATGCCTCAAGTACTCCTCTAACAACCCATTGAACCGTTCAGTTTGGCCATCCGTTTGAGGGTGATAGCTTCTTGAGATGTTCAGCTCAGACCCTAGGAGTTTAAAAAGTTCTCTCCAGAACGACCCCGTGAATCTTGGATCTCTGTCACTGATGATGCTCTCGGGGACTCCCCAATACTTCACAACATGCTTAAAGATCAAGCGGGCTGTTTCTTCTGCCGAGCAATGTTTGTGAGCCGGGATGAAGGTGGCATATTTGGAGAAGCGGTCCACTACAACCAGAATTGACCCCAAGTCACCCACTTTTGGGAGACTACAAATGAAGTCAAGGGAAATACTCTCCCATGGTCTTGATGGAATTGGCAGAGGTTCCAGTAAGCCTGCCTGTTTCCTTTTCTCCACCTTGTCCTGTTGGCATATGAGACAAGTCTTGGTGTAGTCTCTCACATCCTCCCGCATGTGTGGCCAATAATATCCTTGTTGTAGCAAATCAAAAGTGCGCCTCCATCTAGGGTGACCTGCCCATGGAGTGTCATGGCACTCTCGCATCAATTTCTGTCGCAAGTCTCCAGACTTCGAGACATACATTCGAGGGCCCTTGGTCAAGAGCAGTCCATTCTCCACCCAAAAGAACTTTGATTTTCCCTCTCTTGTTAGGTCCATCAAAGTTGAGGCCTGAGGGTCTCTCTTCAACCTGTCTTTTATCAGGGCTCGAATGTCCGAAGTTGCCTTGCTGGCCGACATTGGTGCTATCCTTCGTAAGGCGGCAAGTTCTGCCATCCGGCTAAAAGCATCTGCCACTTGGTTGGTCTTCTCAGATTTATGCTCAAAGGCATAATCGAACTCGGCCAACATCTCTTGCCATCTTGCTTGCTTGGCCGTCAGTTTGGGTTGGGTCAAAAAGTGAATGACTGCGGTGTTATCCGTTCTAACGACAAACTTTGACCCTAGCAAGTAATGTCTCCATACTCGCAAGCAATGAACAACTGCCAGTAACTCTTTCTCCTGGGCGGTGTACTTCCTTTCCGCTTCATTCAATTTTCTGCTCTCAAAGGCTACTGGATGGCCTTCTTGCAGTAATACTCCCCCAAGTGCAAAATCGGAAGCATCCGTCTCTACTTCCAAAGGCTTTTCGATGTCGGGGAGAGCCAACACAGGGTCTGTCATCATTGTCTTCTTCAAGTTCTCAAAGGCTTCCTGACAGTTGGAGCTCCAATTCCATCCCTGACCCTTCTTAAGTAGCTCTGTAAGCACTACTATCCTTTTAGAATATCCTTCTACAAATCGCCGATAATAGTTGGCCAGCCCCAAGAAAGAACGCAACTCACTGACATTCTTGGGAGTTGGCCACTCCTCGATGGCCTTTACTTTCTTCATATCCATTCTGAGGCGACCCTGCTCCACTATATGGCCAAGGAAGTTAATCTGAGTCTGAGCAAATGCACATTTCTCTCTTTTCACATAGAGTTGGTTAGCTCATAGTCGCTCAAACACCATTCTCAGATGCTCACGATGCTCCTCCAAGGTGGAACTGTACACCACAATGTCATCCAAGTAGATCACCATGAACTTGTCGAGAAAGTCGTGGAACACCTGGTTCATTAACGTACAAAAGGTAGTAGGAGCATTAGTTAAACCAAAAGGCATAACAAGAAACTCAAATGCCCCATACCGAGTAACACAAGTGGTCTTCGGTTCATCTCCTTCGATAATTCTGACTTGATGATACCCTGATCTCAAATCCAACTTCGAAAAGTACTTGGCACGACTCAACTGATCGAAGAGGTTAGAAATGAGAGGGATTGGGTACTTTTTCCGCACGGTCACCTTGTTCAGCGCTCGATAGTCTACACATAATTGCAAGCTCCCATCTTGTTTCTTCTGGAACAGAACTGGGGCACCAAATGGCGCCTTAGATGGTCTAATGAAACCTACTTTTAAAAGCTCATCTAACTGTTTCCTCAATTCGGCTAATTCTGGAGGAGCCATCCGATAAGGGGCCTTTGCTGGTGGCTTTACCCCAGGGAGTAGTTCAATCTCATGATCTACCCCTCTTCTTGGTGGCAACATCTTGGGCAACTGATCAGGCATCATGTCTTCGTACTCTTTGAGCACTACTTCCACCGCACTAGGAACTCCCCCTGATGGGCCGTCTTCTTTGCACACCGGCATGACTATGTATGAGGGCTCACCCCGTTTTGTCCCTTTCTTGAATTGTAGTGCGGATATGATCCTTTTTCCACTCCTTGGGAGGATGGTGGCTGGCACCAAACACGGGCGATCGCCCAAGAATAATAGGCAACTAGCAGATGGAACTGGATGGCCTTCGCCACTGTCATGAAGTCCAAGCCCAAGACAACATCGAAATCATCCATTGGGGAGACTGTGAGGTCCGCGCCTCCTTCCCAAGGGCCTAATTTTGTCATCACCCGCTTAGCACTTCCACAAAATGGTCGAGGCCGGTGAGTTTACTGCTTTCATTTGCCCACACTCGTTGTCGACCTTAAGACCACACTGTTTTGCCTCCTCTGGGGTGATAAAGGTATCGGTGGCGCCCATGTCTACCATAGCTTTGGTCGCCTTCCCGTTTAGCACCATATCCACATACATGAGTCCTCTACTAGGTTCCTTCTTTAACTGGTTCAATTGGGAATGAAATGCATTGAGGAATCGTAATGACCCAACTCTAGCCATCTCGTCCACTGTTTCCTCTTCTGTATGATGCTCATTCGAGATCTACTGCTTTGATGCTTGCAAGGCACTCATAACTCCCCTGTGTGGGCACTCTCTAACTCTATGTGGTCTGTTGCATAAGAAGCAAGCCAATGGTTGTTTTGCTTTAAAAGTGGGGGCACTCGACGTTGTTGTAGTCAAGTCTCTACTATTTTGTCGATTGTCCGCTCCCCCACTTGAGCTCTTGCCCATCTTCGCGGGCCTTCTCCCGTTTAAAGAGCTACATCCACCATTGCTCGATGGTGTGCTCTTACGTTTTGTAGAGTTCTCATTGTAGTCATTAAGACGTTCGGCCGTCGCCATGGCCATAGCCAAGTCTTGTACTTTCTGTCTAACCAATTCGGTCCTGGCCCAAGGCTTGAGGCCCTCAAGGAAATAGAACATCTTGTCCTTCTTTGACATGTCCCTTATATCCAGCATCAACGTTGAGAAGGTCTTTACATAATCTCTTACTGACCCTGTTTGCTCCAACTCTCAAAGCTTCTTACGGGCCATGTATTCCACATTTTAAGGGTAGAACTAATTCTTAAGCTCCTGCTTGAGCTCACTCCATATCTTAATGGGGCACTCCCCCTCGGTGAACTTGGAATGCCACCACAACTTAGCATGACCGGAAAGGTACATGGCCGCCAAGCTCACCTTCTCCTCATCTGAGTCAGTGTGCATGGCCCTGAAGTATTATTCGATGTCGAACAAGAAATTCTCCAACTCTGTAGCGTCCCTTGCCCCCTCATAACGTCGGGGTTCGGGCACTTTAGCTCTTTTTGGCCTCTCAATCGCACCTGATCCTCTGTTGCCCACTGACAAAACCAATAAGCTCACTTTCTCTTTGAACTCCCCGAGATCAGTCTTGAAGGCCTGTATGGCTTCCCTGGTCTCCTCTCCCAAGGTCTTCACTTGCTCGGACAACTCCCGCTGGGTTGCCTCGATCTCTTTCCCCCGAGAGTGGCTCACTGTATGCCTCTCTACTTTTTTCTTTAATGCGGCCATTGCGGCCTCTAGCTCCTGGAGCCTCTGTTCATTAGTACGCTCAATCGCATCGTTGCTAGATTCATTTGACATCTTGTTGCACCTCGTGTGTCAACAACCTTGCTCTGAATACCAACTGTCACGGACTAAGTCTTCTCCCGCTCAAGGCTCGTCCGTGTGGCACTTGAATGGGCTCTCCCGATCAAGTCAGCCAACTCGATGTTCAATCTGAACAAGCAAATATTAAGCCACAATGTTAGTAAGGGACAAGTGATATAACCCCGAGGCATGGCCGCAGCTCGCCCAGTCGACCCCCTCGACTCGGAGAGGGTTCATTTTGGTCCGTTTGTATTAATAATGAGATTGCAAAAAGGTTCTCGGGACTTACCAACCTAAGGCCAAAGGGGGCAGCCCTAGGAGGTGTGTTGATACATACCTTAACCAGTGAGACAGCCCAACTATCTGCCGACTGCTCACCCCCCTCAAAGAGCTAAACGGAATTTAGAGCTTTACCACCACTGACAGTTGATGTGTTTGAAAAGGGTACAAAAGACCTAAGGCTAGTTAAGGTTGGCCCTCTACCCAAGTCATGGCCCTATACAAGGGTTGGTCATGACACCCACCCTAGCATTTAGGGTCATGTGGGGCCCACATGAGTGCTGACGTGGAAGTGCCACATCAACATAAGTTTGCCATGTGAGCAAATTTTATGGGACTTAACGGAATCCGTGAAGTGAAGTGGGGAATTGACCTGATTTTACAAATTCAGAGGGCAAAATGGCAAAATTTAAAGTTCAAGTGACATTCTGGCTTAAATTTGCAAAGTTCAGGGACATGGGGCAAAGGGTTATTTAGTCGATTTATAATAGGTAAAATCATAACAATAATTGGTAAAATTATAACAATAATATAAATTGTATTGAATAAAAGATGATTTAGAATAAGTAAAATTATAAATTTTATTGAATAAAAGATAATTTTAATTTATAATATTCTCGGGTCATTCGGGTTAATGCCTCGGGGTATACGGGTTTCGGGTCATACGGGTCTCGGGTCATTCGGGTTTCGGGTCATCTGGGTTACGGGTCATTCGGGTCTCGGGGTCATCTGGGTTGTGGGTCATTCGGGTCACGGGTTGTTCGGTTCTCGGGTCGGGTGGGTTCGGGTCGTTGACTTTTTCTGGTCAAATCGGGTTGGGCGGGTTACGGGTTCGGGCGGATTGGGCGAGTTATCGGGTTCAGGTCAGATTTTGACAGCTCTAAGGGGTACTGAGGCTTTGGAAGGGGTTTGGAATAGCCATTAAAACTCCTCCAAACCCCTTATATTGGACTCCTCCAAATTGGGGGAGTTTGGAGGGGTGGTTGTTGGCCCAAAATTTTATGGACAAAATTGCCCTCATAACATTAATGTAATTCCAAAATTAACTTTGTGAAAATTAATCTTATTAATTTCTTATTAATTTATTATATGTCAAGATGGAAATTATATTTCATATTGATGCTATTATATTATTATTATTTCTTTTTGGCTAGAAGATGGAAATTATGTTCCATACTATTAAGATGAAATTTATATTTCAATTATAAATTATTATGTTATATTGAAGATTTTTTTTTTGCACAGAATTGAAGTTTATTTTTAGATATATAATAAATTAGAAAGCACATCCTAGGAGAAATAATAAAATGTATAAAAAAAAATTATATTATTACTTACTTCCTATACATAAGGGTAAATTGGTAAAATACACAAAAAACTCCTCCTAACCCCACCTCTCAACCAAACACAAAACATGAGAACAACCCTCATTACCCCTCCTTACCCCTCCGTTGAACGAAACATAAAATATTTAAAACTCCACCACTCTCCTCCCCCTCCCTACCCCTCCCCACACCCCCTTGAACCAAACAAAGGCTAAGATCCTAATGTAAGGACTGGTGGGTGGGTGACGATCCTTTGGAAGGGTTTGCTATAGGGGATGTTGAGGATATGTTGAATTGGATAGTGAATAGACTCATTTCTAATGATCGACAATGGGATGTTTTCCATATTCAGCATGTACTTCCACAAGCTTGTATACAGCCGATACCATTGCAGAGGATAGGGACAATCGGCTTGTTTGGAGTGGGGAGAGCTCGGGGTTATTCTCAGCAAAGTCTGCTTTTTGTTTCTAATACCTCAATGTTTAGCGGAGCGCAGTTCGCCTTCCCACCGCTGTCAGGGATGTCAATTGGGACCTCTGATCCGCTCAAATCTCATGCTGGTATTGTTGCTGCACCTGCATAATCACAACAAGACTATTCATACCTGTTTTAACCTGGGATAGCTGCTACTAGGACTATAAACTCAACAAAGGAAGACAACTCGAAAAAAGGGGCCGACGAGGAAAAATTCTGGCAGAAGATTGAAGGTCGAATAAAGGACAGACTGAGGAGCGTGGATGGAATTCAAGACTATGGGATTCCCAATATCGCAAACACTGCTGTAGCAAAAGGAGTAGTCATTCCCCCTAAATTCAAAATGCCAGATTTTGAAAAGTACGATGGAACAAAGAACCCCAGGGATCACGTGCTCAGCTTCCAGAACAAGATGGCACCCTTTTCCACTGATGATAAGTTCCTAATGTACAGCTTCATGTTTAGCTTGACCGGTTTGGCAATTACTTGGTACAATCAACTGGATCCGAGGAGAATTCAGAGTTGGAGTGACATGACCAAAGCCTTTTTAGCACATTTTAGGTATCTGATGGAGTTGGCGCCTACTAGAGATACTCTGACAAACATGTCGAGAAAGACTGATGAATCGTTGACGACTTATGGTCAGCGTTTCAGAGAAGTAGCCTTGTTAGTGTCTGGACTCCCGGAAAGGGAGGTGAACTCTTTATTCTTAAGAACCTTGCCTAAGGAGTACTTTAAGGCATTACTCCCGAAGATTACAGAATCATTCTCAAGCTTAATTGTAATTGGAGAAGCTATGGAAGCTGCAATTAAGGTGGGGTATTTAGATGAGCTGGGTGATCATGCTAAGAAAGGACAAAAGAGGAAGGAAGGAGAAGTACATACAGTGGGAGAAACAGAGTACAGACCAAGGAATCAGGGACAACAATATTATCCGAGGAACTATGGGTACAATTATCGGTCTTGGAGATACTACCAGTACCAGACCATCCCTTATTACGCCCAGCATCCCGGGTATATCAGTGCTGTTGGTGGTACGCCTTTTCAACAAAGGCCCCATAACCAACGTCCCAGCGCACCTCTGGCAATTCAACAAAAGAGTCCAACAAATACAAGAACACCGATTGATCCAATCCCGTATACTTATACGGAGCTTCTCCCACAGTTATTACAACAGAATTTATTGCAAAGACTGCCATTCTCGCAGCCCATGCCAAATCCAGGAGCTTGGTATGACCGCAACGCCCATTGTGACTACCATTCAGGAACTGAGGGGCACTCTACTGAAAACTGTTGGAGGTTGAAACTCGCTGTGCAAGAGTTGGTAAAGTCAGGGAAGTTGAGCTTTGCAAACATGGCGCCAACTAATCCCCTACCTAAACATGGCGGGAATCAGGTAGGCGTAATCGAAAAGTGTGAAACAGTCAAAAGTCGGGTTCAAGAAGTGGTTACTCTGATGGCAACAGTCTACAAAGCTTTAGTGAAGACAGATATGATAGTCCCTGGAGAATTTGGAGGAGAAGAAATGAATAAGGTATGCCCATATCATGGTTTGGGGCATGAAATTCAGGATTGTGGTGACTTCAAGGAGAAAGTTCAGAGTTTGATGGATGAAGGAAGGATGGAATTCTATGTGGAAAGCAAGGAAAAAGAGATTGATGTTATTATTGAAGAGCATGTACAACCCTTCATACCAGCTCCGCCTAAGGTTAAGCCTCAACCTTTTGTACCAAGGCCACCAACAATTTTACCGGCCCATATGCAAAAACCAGTAGCATCTGTTGTTGTGAAACCCCCACAACCATTTCCTTACACAGATAGCCGCCAAGTGCCATGGAAGTATGATCTCAATGTGACTACACCATCAGGTGAAAGTAGTTCGGCTAATGTGTCGGGTGTAGAATTGAAGTGGAAGGGTATACTCACCTGAGATGGCAGAGTTGGCTCAAAAGAAAAAGGATGAGGCCATGGTTCCTGAGACCGGCATAAGAAGTTCAGAAGAGGTTGTTAGACAGAGGGAAGAGGAATTGTCGAGAAGCCAGTATCAGAACACGAAGAATGTGAAATCTTGAAAATCATCAAGTAGAGTGAATACCGTGTAATCGAACAGTTAAACAGGTTGCCTGCTAGAATCTCTATCCTCAGCTTATTGTTGAACTCTGAAGCACACCGAAAGGCGTTGTTAAAGGTGTTGAATCATTCATATGTATCCCAGAACATCAGTGTCGCCGACTTGGATCACATGGCGGGTAACATATCCGCGCATGGATTCATTGCCTTTGCAGAGAAGGATATCCCCAAAGGAATGATGAACAGCATAAAGGCATTGCACATCACAGTTAGGTGCCAGAATGTGAGCATGGGCAATGTGCTAATTGATAATGGTTTAGCTTTGAATATCTTACCCCTCAAAATGTTGAAGAGGTTACCAGTAGATGAGGCCTGCATTCAAACCAACCATTTGATTGTGAAAGCCTTTGATGGCACTAGGAGGAGTGTTATAGGAGAAGTGGAGATAACCATTGAAGTGGGGGGAGTGCCATTCGCCCTAGTGTTTCAAGTACTGGATATACAACATCCATTCTATTCATGCTTGTTGGGAAGGTCGTAGATACATCAGGCAGGGGCTGTTCCATCAACCTTACATCAGGTGGTGAAATTTCTTACTCCATAAAAGTTTGTGGAAGTTAAAGGGGAAGAAGACTTTGTGGTGGCCAGTGCATCAGGATTCTCTTATGTTGAACCACCAGAAGGGTCATATGAATGCTCCTTCAGGGCCTTTGAAGTTGCGGAAACTATTCCAATGAGCATGATGGACTACTCTGTTATGAGCATCAGGTTTATGATGAAAAGGGGGTTCAAGGAAGGAAAAGGTCTGGGAATGGACTTGCAAGGGATTATAGAGGCTGTTGAAGT